AATCTTGGATTTTATGAGTTGTTGCAGATTTACAGATTGGACAACGAACCATCCGAAGTAAAAGATATCGAAACTCCATTGAAATATCAGGTAGTCTGGAATATTTAGTGCTTTGAATATTTAATCCTTTGATTGCTTGTATATATACATATATATCTTCGTCCTTAAGGTAAAACTAACTGTTTAAGTTTTTAAACTTAATTCTTTTTCAGAGTCGCTGTGCTTCAATTTTCAAAGACAAAACAACCGGACTGCCCACTGGATATGCTCTTGGTTCTATCGAAGGTCGAGTTGCAATACAATACGTGGAAGCTGCCAATCCGAAAGATAACTTCACCTTTAAATGTCATCGTTCGCCGGAATTGATTAACGGATTCCAGGAAATTTATGCCGTAAGTTTTTCTTTAATTCATCATGTTAATGTATTCTAACCTATAATTTCTAAAGTGACAAATTGACTCAAGTTTGTTTTCATCTTTCTTAACTTAGTTTCTGCTTAATCATTGTGTTAGTATTAAAACTTATTGACATATATATTCTGCTGTTTATCGAAATTGTTTTAGTTTCTCTATGATCTATTGTTGCTAGTAATTGAAACATAATATATAGCCGTTGTATAGCTGCTGTTCTGTACCAGTGCCATAAATAGTGCAACTTGTTCTATTGAGCGTTAACATTCGTGTTTCGAGATTTTATTTTAAAAAGTCTTTGGTTCTATTGATAGAAGGAAAACATCAAATAAAACAATTTCAGAAATGTGGAATATTCTTTAAAACCATACCAAAGAATTGCAGAAAATTTTAATGGTATAATAATTTTTTTTTAATTAGTATGTGAGTGTTTTAGTAAGTCAGTTTTGGAAGATCGAACCAAGCATATATTTGATTTTTCAGGTGAATGATATCGCATTTCATCCAAGTTATGGAACATTGGCAACTGTTGGTTCTGATGGTCGAATTTCATTTTGGGATAAGGATGCACGAACAAAATTGAAAACATCAGACCCACTGCCAGCACCTGTGACGCGATGTATTATACATCAGTCAGGACAGATGATGGCTTATGCTATCGGTTACGACTGGAGCAAGGTATGATTTATGTTCCTTTTAAAAAACTTTGATAATCCTTGTCAAAACATTGCTTTTTATAATGAATTTAGCTACCACTATTAGACTGGATTTAGATGAGTTTTCAAAAAGGGACAAGTTAGACTCAAGAATACTCTAGTAAAAATTATTCGATCATTGGTCATCAAATCAGAGAAAGACATTTTTCCAGGGCCATGAGGGATACAATCCTCAAACCGCTGGAAGCAAAATCTTTTTACATGCATGTGATGAAGACATGAAACCCAAACAGAAGAAGTAACACGTAAAACGCTGTTTTTATTATTTCTCATAAACTTGTTCAATTTCTTAAATAAGATTTTTGCTTGTTCTTTTATCATCATATAGAATGATTGAGTGGATGGAATTGTTTATTAACAGATTTTTTCTAATGAGGAAGCAAAAATTATTTATTTTAGGCTTTTTCAGATTTTTTTCACATACTAAATAGCATTGGAAAGGAATTAATCTTGTGTTACTAATGTAGACAAAACGAAGAAAAGAAAAGCACAAATGTTCTAATGACATATAATTTTATTGCCAGTAGTAATTGATCTATCCATAACATTAACGTTTCAAGCTACAGTTCTCATTTTAATTACTGGAGATTGCTACTGGCATAAAATTGGGATAATTAGGATGTTTTTTGGATTAATGTGCTTCATTTTTTCTGTGAGAGTTTAACTGCTACTTTTTTGTGTGAGTTCCAGTAATCTTTCATTTTCATGTTTTGTGAACATTAATGATCTCTCTTTCATCATTCGTGTTATTAAAAATTTTCTTTGTGTGAATATGGTTGGCAAAAACAATCAATACCAAAATTTATGCACACTATGATTGATAAATATTTACTGTCAAACTCCTATTTGTTTAATTTATTGCCGTGTCTTTGTCCACTTGCCAAGAAATTTTGTTGGTACGTCATCCTGGTATACTGACTTATCATTATAAAGCCTCATTTATCACACTTGCTAGCTTACAAATTGTTTGCAGAGGAACTATTTCATTTCGAAAGTATCGATTTATTGAATTTCCGGAAAATGTCCTGCTTTGAGGGATTAATAGCCTAAAAGTATAAATGCGCAATAATTGATTTATTATTACCCGCATCTTTCATATACTTATATGTGAAAATTTTGGTTTAAAAATTGTATGTTGTGGTTATTTCAAATTTTATTTCTAATATGGTGTTATGGAAGATCATAAATCTTCGATTCTCCCACCCGCTAATAATTAGCATGCAGTTGAGGGAGAATTCAAAGACCGATTATCGATGATAATGAAGCTGGTTGAGTGACTTGCGTTCAAACCTGGCACTACTCAGTTTATTCACGATTTTACTTGATCTTTACTACTTCTATTTCTTATTTTCTGTTATTGTATCGAAAATATATCAAATTTTTCGCACGCATAAAGTTTATATTTATATTTTAAAAGTAATTCTCGAACCATTTTTCAGAATAAGCTTTATATACTACCATATTCACTCTCATACTACTATTTCCTATGCCAGTAATATTTAATAGGTTTTACCTATTTAATAGGTAAAACCTATTAATTATAACATCTGACTCCCTTCCCCCTCCTGTTAATTTCAAGGAAGATATTTGTTTGCCTAAATTTTGCCGAAATATTGAAGAGAGATTTTGGCTTTCTTATGTAAACTTTTTATAGGAACATGAATAGTTGAAAAGAAAAAAGGAAACGAGCAAACGAGCCTAAGTTCATCACAAAATTTAGTCCCATAATTACTTCTATCAGTGTGTACTTTTACAGCAAGTCTGATTTCAAGATTGATCGATTAAGAGTTGCGTAAGTGTGGTTCATCAATCTTATCAGCACATACCTTATGTCAGCTTCACTCTCCTTCCAAATTTTTTTATTTGGATTGTCAGCCAAGTCTGACATCATTAGAGAGTACTGACTACTCTTATTTCAAGTAATTACTTCAATTGTTTACTCTTTTGAAGAAAATTTTCCTTATTTCGATTGACATTTAGAAAAATCTCATCGAATGTTACACTCAAGGTATTACAAATTGCACCTAATATTTTTACTTAACTTTTAAGGTTAGTTGTCAGATGCATAGAATTCTGGAAATACTTATATAAAGTTTGAAATGAAAAACTGATGTTTTCAACGTTAAAATTCTTTCGATTTAGCTTCTGGCTTGAAGAAGATAATTCTTGAATATGGCTTACAGAATTAAGTTAAAATATGGAAAATTTTAATTTTAAGATGAATTTTTTGAAAAAACTGAAATATGTCAAGTTAGTCTTTAAAAAAAATTTAAATTATATCGAAGCACCAAAAAGCAAAAAAATGTCGAATGAGTAACTAAGTTGTCATAAATTAAAAATGGAAATCAATAAAGCTATCAAAATTCCAAATATTATATGAAGTGCCATTAAGCAAATAATAAAAAAAATTTATAAATTTTGATGTAAGAAAATATATTTTCCTGCACGATAAATCAAAAGAATGCTCAGCGCATTTTGCAGAAAATGATGGATTTCGAGAAAATGATGGATATCAATGCATTTTTTTCTTCTGCTTCTGCAAAAAAAAGAAATAACTAATTTTGATAAAAATATATCCTATTCCAAGAAGAAAATTAAGGAAAATTCAATTTTTCCATTCATTTTCTTGTTCAAATCATCAATTTTCGAGAATTGAGCTCATTCAAAATATTTCAATTTCAATGCAATACGGGAAGGAATAAAAGTAATTCGATGTTCTCAAGAAGAGTGTAGCTTAAATAACCAAACTTTTTACATATTTTCACTATTTGCTATTGATCCTGCCGCACCACTTCATCAATACTCATCAACTACTTCAATTTATAAAATCCTCTTTGCCATTTCCGCAATAAATTTAGCCTCAAATTTCTTCCGAACAATTGGTAACGAAATTCTTATAATCATTTTCTTGAATGTTTGGTATAAATAAGCAATATAAGCATAATGCATAGATTTTTAAAATTAAATTTCGAATGTATGTTAGCCTATTAGTATTATCGCACGAAGAAAAAAATTTTTTATTATCATAGAATTTGAACGAAATATTATAATGATATTTCTTTCAGTTGCAATCAGTTCTATAAGTCGTAAATTAATAATTTTGCAATTTATCAGTGTTCTTTTTTTGTTATTAATCATCTCCTCGGATAAAAATAAAATTTCACCTCTATCTCCAAAAAATAGATCAAACATTTCACTACTTTGTAAAAGCAGTAAAATGTTTAATCCATCTAGCATTATATATATTATAATTTCATTATAGATTCGAAAATAATTAAATTCTGATAAATTTATTTAATTGGATTAATTTTGAATAGTTGATTAGATTGGAATAATTGAATTAATTTATTTGATTAAATGAAAATATATGCAAGTATGAAAAATGCATTACTAAGGAGATAAATAAAGTGAACTACAATGTTGGAAGGCATCTGAGCTATCTTCCTTCCGTCCCGCCATTAATAAATTCCTGATTGATGACTTCCTGCCAGTCGATATGTAATTGTCAAATTGAAACTGAGCTAAAGTAATTTATCTAATTTGATGGTCTGAAGAAACAATGAAATTCAGAAATGCAAAAAAGAACATGAAAAAGAGGGAGAGAGAGAGAGAGGAAGTTTTGAGCTTTGTTTTTTCTGCTTGTTTTTTTCCTTCTCGAAATTAGATAAGATCGAACAGTAAAATTTTGGACAATTTATAGATGAAAATGTGACAGAAATGGGTGGGAAGAGTCACAACGATTGCAATTTTTCTTGCAATATGGAATGCGAGTACAATGTATAACAATAAAATTTAAAATTCTTATAACTAAACAAATATTAATTGAAAATTCGCGAACTTTTTCTAGTAATCTTTTTTTGATGATATCTGTAACATCTCTGATAGTTCATGGAACTATACTGATATACTGATAATTGATCTCCAACAACACTACCAAATTGATTGTCACCATTTTACAGTAACTTTATAAAAATATGATATACGACAGCTCTCATTCAGGCTTATTCCTTCATTCAACCGACACTCCAACCTCAGCAATCATTTAAATGATTACATAGTTTAAACTGCAGCTGTCACATAAGTTTCTCTTTAATTTTCGTCCTTAATAGTGACAATTGAAAATTGTTATTGATTCCCTTAATTTTTAACTATAGTGTTAAATTTATAAATACTTTTAACCTGTTTAACAAAAGTATAGAACAGAATAAGTGAATCTTTATTAAAATAATAATGATTGCAAGTCTCAAGATCTTCTGGTATAATATGACGAAAAAGTTGTAAGTAGAAAAAGTGTCTCCCAATATGTCAAGACGAAAAGATTATGCAAATTATATATCGAAACAAATCAGCAACCTATGATTCGCGGAATCTTTCCCACTTTACAGGCACTATCTCATATCTTGATCTACTTCATTCTTGGATCTCTGGGGTCTTTCGGCTTTTCCGAAATATTAAGAGAAGAAAAAATATATAGATAAAGAAAAATATATATTCTCTATCTTAAACACAACAACATCAATCAGACCGAACGATGTCGGTGGTTTTTGTCTGAACAACGAAATGAGAGCCAGAATACGTTTCTAAGGCATATGTTGTCCATCCAGCTATAACACAGCAATTTTGCATATTCATGGGCAAATGATTATTGAGTAATTCAGCTGACATCCAAGATGATAAAAAGGATAAGAAACAGAGCTATCATTGATAGGATGTATTCAAAATAGGCCCGGTCGACCAACTTTCATCTCCCTTAATGTGAAGTGAAGTAGCACAAAATGACGTCAGCAGAATTGAGCATCATAGATTTCTTTTTTTCTCTTTCATGTGCTCATCAACTGAGAGTGTTAGAAGGATTGAAATCGAATGTGACCATAATGTTCCTCTCCACCCTTTCAAACATTTATTATCTAACTGGCCGATTTTCAATCTTGATTTGAAACAAAGGGTTCAATTCAAATGAGTCCTTGAAATGTTACGGTAACTCGGCACTGTCAACATGCCATTGAAGAAATATCACCACATTTCATCTCCTCACATCTCCTCAAAAACCGCCCCGTCCAATTGTACAATATAAAATAAACCTTTCTAACATTCATGCCTACTGCCTTTTCGTTAATGAAATTCAGAAAATAATTGCAATATCCCAAGATCGAGCTTGTGCAAGAAATAAAATTTGTCAAATCACAAAACCTAGATGTAAATAGCACCCTATGCCCAACCAAAAAGAAACTTATTATTGATTGAAGAACATTTTTTAATATCAAAACTTATAATGTAGTACTGCTGACAAGCAAAAATCAAGTAGAGGTCTAAAATCAGAATTCCAAAATAGTGTGAGTCATACGTATATGGATATTATCATGGCTATCATGTAAAAATATACAAAAATGTAAATGAAATGTTTGAAAAGATTGCTCATATAACAAAATACAAAATAACGTTTTCTATAAGGTTAATTGCTCCTTCTCTAGCAAGATTTCTTGAAAAATTCGACCCTTGCCATGAAAATTTCTCTTTGCTTGAATGAGCAGTTCCTTTCGAGAGTTTTCAAATAAGTGAGCTACAAATCACAAACATTCAACGGTGACCAAATAATACATGCTTATAAGAAACCCAAAAAAAAAAACATAAAAATAAATATACCTCGATAATGCATATCTTTTCTTACACAGTGCAAAAATGTGTTACAAATTAACTTAAAACTTATACTAATGCGATAATAATGAGTAATAAAGTTAGGAAATCATTTCCATAAATAAACAAAAACCACACGCACAGGCAGATCTTGGAATAAAGATGGAATGATCACAGGTAGTGTGATGACTATTTCATATACAACTCAGTGATTTCGTTTCGTGATGACTGTTTCATATACAACTCAATGATTTCGTCTCCATCAAGATTTCAACAATGCAGTGTCAACAAATTTTTTTCTACAGTTAATCAGCAAAAAATGTCGATGACAAAATCATGAGTATTTTGTAACTTAATAATCAAACCAAATATTGTCACTTCTTCACTTCATTTGTTAAAATCTGGAACAATTCTTTATCAGCCAAACAACCGTCTACAAATTCCTTTAGCGTCAATTCCTGAAAGCACATTTAATTTCTAAATCATAAAAACTAAACATATGTCAGTATTAATATTACCCGACCGACACAATCGAAAAAGAAAACACAAGAACAAAAATGAGGATGGTCTATTATCCTGCCTGCATTTTGAAAATTAGTTTGAAAAATAAAACTAAAGCCAACTTTCCTGTTTCGGTTATATCTGCAGGGAAATAAAATTTTCAGCATTAAATATCAATTGATACTCATTAAACAACTCGAAAGAGTGCTTAATCTCAAAAAATGAAATTTGGAACAAAATATTCTTTGTTAATAATAAAACCCATTATTATAAACCATAACTGGAATAGAAGTTACGAGAGGAAAAAACCTTCCAAAATATACCTGAATGCACCCTCAGGCAATCGCATCTACTGCAAAAATCACCTTCAATAATTGTTAGTAAATATTTAAAATCTAATAATAAAATACTACCTAGCTAAAATCAAAAAGCAGAATCCCCATTCGCAATTTATTAATAAAAAAAAACAGAATCCTCATTCGCAATTTATTAATATCGATTTTATTCTTTTGATATCAAAGTGACGAAACATCCTGAGTATCATTTTCATTCACAACAGATAGATTATTATTGCTGAATGAAGAAGTATCACTGTTATGCATTTTCAGAAGCAGATCTTTGAAAATAAAAGGCGCTAATGTCTAAAGAATCACTAATATTTTTTTTTCACTTTTCTAAATCCAGCTTATCATAAATGTACCACATAAAGAACGGAGTTCATTTTATAGAAAAGAAGTAAGATAAAAGACCTCTCGTTCCCTCTCAATCGTTTTAGGTTACCGCAAGAATTCTTATGACAAGCTATCCTTTTCTCTATTTGCTAAAATAAATCTGATTTTAGGAAAGTCAGGAATTATGAAATCTCCAAAATATCATTTTTTATGCAAAAAATTATTCCCTATTTCATGAGAGATCACAGTATATTAAAACAGTGGGAAATAAAGAATTTGTTTTTGTACATCTATTCTTCTGAAGGAGACAACTGATATACGGTGTAGTACGTAAGAAAAATGAAATCATCAGTGAATATAAAATAATGAGAAAAGACGGTTAAAGAGAATGGAAAGAAGAAGAAAGAGAAAGATTAAAATTTTCGAAACAAACTAGCCTTATCGTTATTGACATCCATTTTCTCGAAAATCATTTTAGCCCGTTTTCGAGGTGAATCATCAGCGGATTTTGTAACTTCCGGCCCTAACATTTCGTAGATTGCCTAAAGAGATAATTTAATTGACGGACTACTGCAATTCAATAAAACTTGAAATAAAACATGTTCATAAAACATTTTCCCATAAATTAATTGACGCACTAGCAATTTTTTTAATGTTGTACTGTAGATGTTAACCTTTGACTGAATCAAATAACTATCTCGAGACTAAAAGAGTAGAAGGAAGAGCTCAAAAAAAAAAAACACAAAAAAGTCTAATTGATCCAAACGCAGATGTAACTCCATACACTAACGATTTCGTAATTGAATTCGGAACAAATGCATGGAACTGATAGCATCGCTCGATGAAAAAAGATAGGAAAAAAATAATATAATGAAAATTTTAAAGACTCGATATAATTCGTAAATCAAGTTTTCGATAAAAAATTTGTTTTCGCCTCCCTATATTTTAAGACGTGTAGAGTTATATATATTTCTAGTGAATACTGATCGCTCTGAACACTTTGCTGTGGTTTATGACTAAAATAAATTTCATAAAAGTCTTCGTGACTCATCTGTTCGAGTCTCACTAATATAAAGATACACAAATTTTTTTTGCCAAGTGACAAGTTATACAGAGATAGGTGTAAAATAACTATTTTGGCAAATTTTTGCGCAGAAGCAACGAATTACAACCAGGATTACATTGAAATACAAACGAAATTTAGAACTTTATACAACTTATCACTTAGTAAAAGAAAATAAGCCTCATGCATTCCTAATTGATAAAAAAAATTTAAAAAAATTTAAGTACAGATCAGAAGCGATTTTAAAAATCAAGAGTCACCTTTTTCTTTTCAGATTTACAATACGAAAAGCAAGTTAAACTAAAGTTTATCTTATTAAAAGTGTGCGTGACAAAAAGAATTTTACTTTCAGCAAAAGAGACATGAAGAGAGGAAGCAAAGGTTTTCCGATACAGTATGATAAAAAGTGAGGAGACTTGAAAAACCAAAATTACAAGTGATATAGATTTAATGTCATTTGATTCCTATCTTAATTATCATTAGATAAAGAAAGCAGAAAACAAACCTCTATAATTTTAATCATTTCTTTCTCATCAATAGTGCCATTACCATCAATATCATACATCCTGAACGCCCATTCAAGTTTTTGCTCTGGTGTGCCCGAACTTGTAACATTTATTGCTAACAAGAATTCCTTAAAATCGATAAAACCACTGTTATCAGTATCAAATGTCCGGAAGACATGCTCGCAAAATCCTTCCGCACTTCCGGATGGGAAGAAATCTTTGTAAACTTTGATAAATTGATCCTTTGTCAAGTGACCTTTCGGACAATCTTGCTGAAATAATTTTCTGTAAACACCATTAATGCATTCAACTTTCAAGTTTTACAGAAAGCACATATATTTTAAACAAGATTTTCAGAATTTGTGATGAAAGCTTACGACGTACAAATATATTAAGAATGCACCATAAAAAGTTGTAAAGAATGATGATAGAAAAAAATCCATTAGAGATTTCCTTAGATTCTTTCATTTGAAAATGTAATTGTAATATTAATTTTTACTCGTAGGCAATACACTTACTGAATATAAATGTGCGATGAAATTTTAGAATTAATATCAAAATTAAGAAAATATTAAGTAATCATTGTAGTTTTATGAAATGGTGAAAAATAAAAAATACATTTTTATGTGACAACTTAAAAAGTAAAGCACTGACTTTTCCTGATTATTCACTTCAACTGCTGTCTACAGCTTACTATACCTCTTAATCACATTAAAGCTGTTATAGGTAACACCAACAGGTATAATATTTTAATAAATTAATGGAATGCTTGATATGTCTCTTCCTAACTTTCACCCATTTCACCAGCTGCTGACATGCATGCATATGCAAGTATATTTGAAAAAGGACCGATCAAGTATATTTGAAAAAGATTATTTAAAAAGCAAATAGTCAGTCTTCGCTAATCACTCACATATGCTGAAATACTGCTTAGCCCAATGCATTAACAAGTTATCAATGCATAAAAATCAAAGCGGATTTTGATTCAAAAAGAAAATTTACGATATTTAATTGGGAAGCTTCTAAAAGCACGCCAAAAAAGTTTTATGGAAAGGTACACAATTAATTCATTTTAATTATTAGGCACTCATTAACTGTCACGTTCTCTGGTAAAATGTTGATCAAATGATTAATAACAATTTCCTAAAGTTCTAAAGTCAATAACTTTAGCTTCAATAGTTTTCTTTGAGTGCAAATCCGCTGTATTTAAAAAATTCATTAATTTCATTGAGAAAGCGTTACATCCCCTTTTCTCTATATAATTGTTATTTTGTACATCTCAAGTAAGACCTCTGTTACATAACTTAGAATCAGAAACTTTCAAATGTCAGTAACGGATGGTAAAACATATTTACAATGGTGAAGTTCATAGATGCATCAATACCAAAACAGGAGGAGGTCTGAAATTTGGTACAGTATACATCACCACTATTCCTTCATTAATCCAATTCATCATTTGATACAAAAAAAAAAAATATTTTGCTACAATGCGGCATAGTTGCATTCTACCTTTTGCGAAAAGGATGAAAAAAGATAAACTAACCACAAAGCCTTTATACCACTCCTTGATTTGCTCTTCGGTGAAGCTTGTGTTCTTTTTCAGGAAATCAAGATCTTCTTTGGAAAGTTTCGGTTTTGAGCTTTTTATACCCATTTGGTGGGAAGTGATCGGAACAGTGGAAGAACAATTAATCGATCAAATTAGTCGCGATAATGCGGCAGTAAGTAGGCAAACCAGATCACAGTGCCGTTCACGGGATCTAGGCGAAAAGAAATGCTTCATTAGCATCTACAATGGACATCACTGAAATGCAGTCTTGTAAACGCCGCCGAGAAATCCTTAGAAGTCTCATCTACTGTGCGAATGACTAGGTGGCTGGCTAGAGTAGCAGTTATTAATGTTGCGTTTGATGAAATAAGCCATAAACTAATTAATGTTTTTATAAGAGAAGCTAGCTGTAAATTGACGATTTACTTTACTTCGTCATTATGTCTGTACGAACCACGTGAACTAGGAAACGTACGTAAATAGACAGAGAGAAACAAAGAGAGAAGGAGAGGAAGATAGAAAGAAGAAAAGATTAAAAAATTAATGATATATTATGGTTATATATGGAGATGAAAGTGCGTGTGGAAGACTTGATGAGGCATTGCGCTTAGCAGTACCTATAGTTGCAGCTTCCTGACTCACAGGCAACTACATGCCTGCCACAGGCACATACATACACGGATAGATCGATGGGTGACAGATGGCAGTCAGCTGGAATAGGCTGGTCCAAGCCTGCCCTGAGAGGGGAGGAGAAGAGATGTCATTGCTGATTGGCTTTTTTGATGGTGAAATGAGGGGCTAATTCCTCCACAACCATCCATACTATCCTATCTCATCAGCATCTATTTATATGCATGCATGTCAGGTGTGTATATGTGTCGAATTATGGATGATAAACAATGCCTGATGGAAGGGAGAGAGTGATGATTGGGACACTGTCCTTGGAGGCCATGAATGGAAGAGGAGAGGGAATATGTTGAGAACAGAAAACAGCCAACAAATCAGGATAAGAGGAATGGCTAAATGACATGGCTCTCTCTCTCTCTCTCTCCCTCTCTACTCCATTTCACTCTTTCCATTCTTTGCTGCAAGGGTATTTCTAACAATTGAAATACTACTTCGTGTCCACTTCCACTTCAAAACAATGCTAAATTTCTTTTTTAACCAAGCATCATAAAAATCCTTCATAATAGCCATCAATAAATAGCAAAAATTATAGAGAAATCGATTAATCATCTAATCTTCCATTTAATTTGATCACACATTTTTCTCCTTCCACTACATGTTTCAATGATAATTGATGCTAGCTTGAAAATTCGTAGTACAAAAGAATACATTGACCCAACGAAACATTCTTAGTCGACGACTTAATGCATTACGTATCGATTTATTTCTCTCCATGCTTACAATTTCATTTAAAACGCGTTTCAGAAGCGGTACGAATGAATGCTATGTATATAGTACTATATGAAATGTGAAAAAACTAAAATAGAACTTCAGAATATCGATCAATCATCGTAGTTTCCTTCTGACTTTTGTTGAATCTAAATCAGGAACTATACAGTAACTAATCTCCATTCTTCTTTCTCAAGAATATTTTAAAAGCTGAATTTATAAACACCAAATAGAAGCGAATTACGAGGGTGGGATGCCAATTTTCATTCGTCAACGTATATCACTTCTATAATTTGCTTTCTCCTTTTTATTGTCCGACAAGTCTTCTGGGATTTTTTGCTTTCATTGTGTACTGGTGGCTAACGTGAACGTCATTGTGTACTGGTGGCTAACGTGAACGATGCAGACAGATATTAAATTGTTAATGTGAAAGTTCATTATGATGATTGTTTTTCAACTATTCACGGATAAATTGCAGCAATAGAAATGGAGTGGGAAATATCGGAGAGTTATCGAGCTGCTAAGGAAGCGGCTGTACGCCGCAAGTATGATCAGTCGGCGTTATTCTTACGTACCGCTCTTTCGTTAATTGAACGTCGTTTGAATGGTATATCGACCGATGATCCAAATAGAGGCCAACTTGTTAAGGTAAGGGATCATTTTTTCATGGAAGGAAGAAAGTTCGTGGGCTGTTGGTAGAAGTAACTGGATACACATAGGCAGTACCGCACATCACTCCTAAATTACTGATGCTGATTATATTTATCTTATCACTATTATTTGTTGCTAGATTATTATAAACAATTAGACTAGCAAATATTTGAAATGTGTGCGGTTATCACTGCTTTTCGTCTTTGTCTTTAATATGATTGTTTCTAGTGAACAAATGTTTTATTTAACATTCTTCTAGATAAAATCGGTGTTGAAGTTGAATGTGGAACGAATGAATGGTATTGCGGATGTTGTTTCGCAGATGCGGCAAATGGCCGGTGTGACAACATCGACATCGCCCGTTGACGCACCACCAAGTGATCCTGATGTTTGGCCACTGCCGCCATTAACAAAGAAAACATCGGCCATTCCGAGTCCGAAAAATACCAACAAAAAGCAAATCTCTTTTCGTGTTGATAATAAAACAAAAAAAGGTTCAGTAGGGAAATCTCCTTGTATCAGTGCAGGAGGAGGTCGCAGTATCACCAAAAGAGCTAACTCATTGGGACGTGCATCTATGAATGAACTGTCGGAAGTTTCCCCGAAGGAGGAAGGCGACAATAATAGCAACGTAGGAGTTCTGTCATATTCAGTATACTGGTAATTTGTGATTTAATGCAATCTGCAGTGATTTTAATATATTTTATTGATGATTTGGTTTAAGAGGCTGAATACATTTGTTCGGAGATATTTCCTTGATATTTTTAGGACAAAGGAGAAAACGAAAAAGTATTTGACGATAAAGGGTTCGACAAAGAACTGGTGGAAATTATTGAACGTGATATTATGCAGAAACGTCCTAATGTTCATTGGGATGACATTGCTGGCCTCGATGAAGCCAAGAAGCTCTTGAAGGAGGCGGTCATATTACCGTCAGTTATGCCGAATTTCTTCAAGGTTTTTTTTTTTTTCATCAGTAACATTGTCTGAGAAGAAATTCAAGTTCAAAAATCCGTTTTTAGGGTATTCGACGTCCCTGGCGAGGAATTTGTATGGTTGGTCCACCAGGAACAGGTAAAACTATGCTCGCAAAAGCTGTTGCAACGGAAAGTCAGACGACATTTTTCTGTGTGTCGTCCGCTACACTGACTTCGAAATATCGTGGAGACTCTGAAAAGCTTGTACAGCTTCTTTTCAAAATGGTAAATTCTGCTGCCTTATGTCTGCAGTATTGGTTTTGAACATGATTATTCTATTATTTTTTAAAAAAGTTTCATTTCTAGGCTCGCTTTTATGCCCCATCAACGATATTCATTGATGAAATAGATAGTCTGTGTAGCAGAAGAGGTGCTGACAGCGAACACGAGGCATCACGTCGAGTTAAGTCTGAGCTGTTAACACAGATGGACGGTAATATGTTGTTTTTGAAAAAAAATAGTCATTTTCCATGTGATAAACTATATTGTTTCTTAATTTATGATTATAATTATATATTTGTCACATCGGTTAAAAAATTTGTTCGGAGGATAAGCATTTATTAAATTACACTAAAAAGATCCCCTTCTTAGGTTGTTCGCCAGATGTTTCACGGGTTCTTGTGCTGGCTGCAACAAATTTTCCTTGGGACTTGGATGAAGCTCTAAGAAGGCGTCTTGAGAAACGAATATATATTCCACTGCCAGATAAAACTAATAGATTTCAGCTTTTAAAGCTGGCTTTAGCTGAAGTTTCTATCGATGACGAAGTTAATTTAGAAATTGTAAGTTTTTGTTCAAAGTTAATAAATACTATATTTTAATAAAACGAGAAATGAGATAGTTTAATATTTAAAACATTGTATGCCCAGCCAGTAAACTCTCGTGAGGATAGTTTGTTTTTAAACTTCTTTTGGTTGTTTTGCTTCCAAAATTTTTTGGAGTCAGGCATTCTTTCCAGGTGGCCGATTCGCTTGATGGTTATTCAGGAGCTGATATTACAAATGTCTGTCGCGAAGCGGCAATGATGAATATGCGTGTGCGTATTGCTAATCTAACAGCTGAAGAAATTAAATCATTGACGCAAGAAGAGGTGGATTTGCCTATCACATCTAGTGATTTTTCACAAGCAATACAAAATACATCACCATCGGTATCCTATTCTGATGTGCAAAAGTATGAGAAGTGGATACATGATTACGGCGCGGCGTGAGAGGTCCATCTTACAAATTGAAGTGAAACTTACTGTGATAGCGTGAAGATATCTAACTTGTTTTTTTTTTTTGAATGGTAGAAATGCCTCCATTTTAGACTTGTTATTTCTTTTGTATTATATGTGTATTGTATGTACCTCTCCATCCCATCTTTGCTTCATTTTTGAAATAAGGATTTATATTGTAAGTTGTACATGTGTTATAGCGATTTGTGTTATTTCATACAGTAATGCTCATTAAGATCTGGAAATGTCTTTCTTTATCGTTACTATTTTCACGTTTTATGTTTGATACGGGAAATCATATCGTAGTGTTGTTAGCTCATCGTCATTCTGTTCATTATCATTCATGCACTATTTTTTCGTTGGCAGTAAAGTTTATCATCTACGTTCTATTAAATTGAAGTGTGTAGGATCTAATTTATCTTCCGACTTGTTCTTTTCATAAACTTTTAATTTGATGGCATGAATTGCTTTCGTGAGATCATATATGAATGATTTACACAGATCTCTGTTTCCCTCTCTTTCTCTGGAATTTCTGTTTTTCAGTATAATTGGATTTTTCATTCGCAATGCAGATGTGCTGAGAATGGAAGTTTCTAGTTCCAATCAGTCAGGTTTGTTTTGATACTGGTATTGTTTTATTTTAAAAATCTCGCCTTAAAGAAGTAAAACAACAAATGCATAAATTTATATGAGAATTATCGATATAAATGAGGTATTTTACAGGGAGAATATTGTTGAATTCAAAATTGGTTATCAACCGGAAACGTCAAGAAGGAAATCCCGTTTTGAAGTATATACGTAATGTTCCATTCGAATGGGCTGATATCAAAGTTCCTGTTTCTATTGTTTTGGTTGTTAAATTTCAATATTTTTGTTGTAAATGGATGAAATATGAAGTATCGACGTCCATACAAAACTGGCATGATTTACGCTTCATGTGTTACTCTTTAAAAACAGTTTTAATTCCAGGCTGATTTTGAGGCTGGTAAAGAAATGGGCATTTTATATCTCAGTTTGAAATGGCATAAGCTTCATCCAAATTATATAGAGACTCGTATAAACAGTGATGGTGGTAGATATGCAATTAAGGTAAGATAATTGAGAGACACTGAATTTCGGCACTATTTTTCTATTGCTAATTGATTATGGGAAATATCTGTTATTTGTAATATGAGTCGAAATTGCGAGTGATTTGTCGATTTTCGTATGATTTTTGGTTCTTTTATTTTAAGAAGAGTTTTCTCAGATCTTATTGGTGCTTGTGAATGCGGAACAACGTCATATTCTACGCGAATTAAATCTCTTTTGTTATCGAACTGGTTGGACGCTTATGCTCTGTTATTCCGCTGAGGAAGCTGCGGAGTACTTGGAAAATTTGCATATTTCGAGAAATAAAAATGAACAAAGCGCCGTTAATGCAGTGCAAGAACGGAAAAGAAAACGACTTTGCTTGCCGGATGATGATAGCGAATTACAACAGGTAATTTATGCTTTGTCGATTGCACACCGGTTATGCTCGATAAGAAGGAACAAAAAAGTAAAGTTCGTTTTGTTGTTTTATAAGGGAAAGTTGTGATTGTAAAAGTATTGTAAGATTTAGCTACAATGCAACCATACCAACAAACTACTAATATAGCTTTTTTCTTATTTGCATGACATTCTATATTTCTCGAGTGAATCATGTGCTGTAATTGTGCTGCGTTTTAGTAATTGTTTACTAAAACTGCAATACTTTTGTATTGAAAGTGAGAATATATTTGTTTTTCTACAATGATATTGTCGATGATAAGCTATGCTTATTTTTCAGGCAGCCAAATTCCTTACTGTTATTCGATCGTTGACAATATCTGATGCACAACGTTTGATTGCTACTTTTGGCAGCATCCGGAAAATAGCAAATGCAGACATTGATAGGTTGCTGTTATGCCCTGGCCTAGGTCCTACGAAAGCAGGAAATATACATACATTCTTTCGGACAACTTTTCAAAAAGCTTGAATTTAAAGTTGTTCATTCAATTTGTAAAAATTATTGAATTAAATCTTATAAAAAGTTGAAATTGTAATTGGATATGTCATAATGTAGGAGATCAGTACACCTGAAAAGGATACTATTTCTTTGATGCATTATAACCAAATAATGTGTTTTATAGAAAAAGTGATAGAGATGTTGGTGGAATTCTTACATTTGGGCCTTATTTTCTGTTTTATATATCTGAGGTATTTGAGAATTATGTAAATATTACGTAGTTGTGGCGAATTTCGACATAAGTTTTTTTTTGCAAAGTCCAAACAGATGCAGGTTTTTAACTTTTTTAGATGATTTCTTTTAGATGTAATTTCCCTTACAAAAGGAAAACAAAGCTTTGCTTGAATTGTAGGAAAAATCTTCATTTTACTTGATTTTTTTTCTTAAGTTCTGACTTCTTTTGGGAGGTTGTGTATCTGGCTTTGCTTTCATTTAGAAAGACAGTCTGTTCTTTTTGTTTAGTTGTCGCTTTCTCAGAAGCATTGCCTAAGCTATTCGGACATTCAAAAGCGATGAATGATGTTCCTGAAAATGCAAACGAGGATTGTCCCGGCGCAACATCTGTGGATGCAGGAAAGGTGTTTTTTTTACTAAATAGTAGGTCAAGGGAATTAATTGGTGAGAAATGTTATGGGATTGAGACCGTTAGACTATATAGTAATCTTTGCACGTAGCATTGCATATGGAACATTTTATGAAGTTTTTAATATTGGTTCGGAATTGTTTATGGAGTTGCAGGCAGCTTCGTGTGCTGGTTGTCCCAACCAGACACTATGTGCATCTGGCGAAGCAAGAAAGCCAGATACGAATTTTTTGGCAATTACAGATCGTTTGAAAAATGTTAAACATAAAATCTTGATACTTTCTGGGAAAGGCGGTGTCGGAAAAAGTGCCGTAGCGGCAAATTTGGCTAGAGCTCTGGCAGAAAATGATAAAATGCAGGTACTGGTATAATCAAAGATGAAATTGATTCTTTTTTCGCCTTAGTTTCTATAATGCGGATAATTGTTATTAAAATACGAAGTAAATCTTAAAGTCTATGATTAATTTTTTTTTGTATGGAAAAAATATTTTCTGAAATTCAAAAATAGAAGAACGTCAAATCTTTGAAGGTCGGACTACTAGATGTAGATATTTGTGGACCATCGCAAGCACGAATGCTGGGTGTTGAGCAAGAAAGTGTTCATGAGAGTGGTGATGGTTGGTGTCCCATTGTTGTAAAAGATAATCTCATAGTAATGAGCATTGCATTCTTATTGCAAAATAAGTCTGAAGCAATTATTTGGCGAGGAGCGCGAAAGAATGCTTTGATAAAGCAGTTTTTAAAGGTTGATTTCTTTGGTGACAGGTCTTTATATTATTTCTAATACATGTTGTTTCTTATTCTTATAACGATAATATCATCTAATTCAAATTTAGAAAATTTTCATTTAGCAATTGACTAGAGTGGTATGCATAGAAGAAAATTGAATGCTTACCATGGAATTTACATATATTTATTTCTAATGTAGTTTGGCTAGAATTTTAAAACACGAAAAATTATGAATGTATATTATTTCAATACAAGTTGGGGGATCAGTTCTTTCCTTTATTAATTTCCTTTATATTAAAGCAAGTCAATTGTAAGCTGAAATTTATTTCATTTTTTTCTCATAGAAGTTAATTGATGTGTCCATAATGTTTTAACTTTTCATCAGCGAAAACTAAATTTTTTCTTTCAGTGGATAGAAAGTAAGCATCGGCTTGATAACATGATATTTAAATTCAGGATGTAGATTGGGGAAGTTTGGATTACTTATTGATTGATACACCTCCTGGGACTTCAGACGAACATATCTCCACTGTTCAGTTTCTTCTGCAAGCAGGTTCTATAGATGGCGCTATTGTGGTAACCACACCTCAAGAGATATCACTGCTTGATGTCCGCAAAGAAGTAAATGCTTTTCCCTTTTCTTCTCTTTGATAACAGTACACTTTTTGCGTAAAATTAATTTATCATGTTTGTATATTCTGCAAAATACTTTAAGTCATAACTTTTCATTTTTTCAGATCAATTTCTGTCGAAGAACAAAAATTAATGTATTGGGAGTTGTCGAAAATATGTCTTCGTTCATTTGTCCCTGCTGTTCGAAAATTTCTCAACTTTTTCCACGTACAACTGGTGGTGCAGAAACGATGTGCAATGAATTATCTGTTCCTTTACTGGCTTCATTACCATTCGATAGTCACATGGCTGAATGCGCAGATGCCGGAGAAGATTACTTTGAAAAATATCATAATTCTGTTTTAGCTAAGGAATTTGAAAAGCTTGCACAGCTCATCTCCAAACGACGATTTAGTTAAAATACTGCTTTGTCCGTGATTGTTCTGGAATGTGCTTGAGCTTTTCATTGAAGAAACCGTTACTGAATGAAAAGTCATTTAATAATAATATGAACGAAGTGGATTTAAAATTCCCGGTTTTGGTCATGATAATTGGTTTTCACATAATCTTGCCTGTCGCACTCAATTTGCTTTTGATTTTGCCAGTGTTATAAAATTTGGCATAAATTTTTTATTGTTTCTTATATTAGTACCTTAAAAATACCATAAACTGAAGCTTAATTATAAGCCAACAGAGTGTCTTGTTCAATCAAACATTGGATAGATTTATTTGGATTTTATGTGTGCACCCTAAGCCGAAGAAAATGTAAGATGTCTAAAATTTGAAGAATGCTTTCAGATCACTCCGGATTATAAAGTCTCAGTTGGTCACAATATATGATTCGTCATTTAGGATTTGTATAGCGCTAGTATTTATATAACGAATTGTGGAGGCTTCATATCTGCTGTAAATTTATCAAAGGACATTACTGAGTGGCTTTAGTTGTATTCACTGCTCTCAGGTTTGATGAAACGAGTTGTGATAACAGGTATAGGTATTGTAAGTCCATTTGGTGTCGGTAGAAGAGTTCTCTTTGACAATTTAGTAGCTAACAATGTTGCATTGCGAAAGGATGAAAAACTTAAAATAATTGTGGGACGAGTTGCGGAATATGGACAACATGGTCTTGATTTAAGTTCGTGGACCCCTCGAGAATTGAAACAAATGAGTAGAGGTATTTGTTATTGAAGTCTCTTGTTCATATGAGAATACATGTGTTTTCGAAAATTGAAAATACTGATAAGGACGCACGATTGACTCGTTTTCTGGGCCTTGATTGAATACATTTGATTTATGTTTATATTACAGATGATTAGCTTTTCTAAATTCCAGGTAGTGTGCTAGCAATCGTTGCAGCAGAAGAGGCAGTGAAAGATGCTGGTTTAAAAGAATGTCATATGGAAGAAACTGGCGTTAATATTGGAATGGGCATAGCTGATCTGGAGGTAATTTACGAAGTTGGTAAACAAATTGAAGAAGGTAAAGGACGTCGAGTAACACCTTTTTTTATACCACGTATACTAACCAATATGCCAGCAGGACACGTAAGTATCAAGTAAGTTCATGTTGTAGTTTATTGTTTTTTTAAATAGTATTGTTAATTTTGAATCTCGGCGTTGAGTAATTTATAGTTCGTATGCGATCAACTTATTATTTACTTATGTCAGAAGCATTTATTTAAACTATAGATTTGGTATGCGTGGACCACAGCTAAGCTCTTGTACCGCGTGCGCAACAGGTTTGCATAATATTGGAGATGCCGCGACATTTATTAGGATTGGTCGAGCGAAGCGCATGCTTGCAGGTGCAACCGAAGCATGTGTCAATATTATAGCAATAACTGGATTTAGTCAAATGAGGTTTTGATTTTTTTTCGTATTCAGAATTTCTGATTAATCTGTTCAAATTCTCTTCTTCGATCAATATTTGTGAGTGTTATGGAAGCTTCAGAAGTTTGTGATAAAATTTGTGACAATCAGCGACATGATAACTTGTCATAAATGTAACCAGTTTTTTAAAGTTTTCGAAATGTATTTATGTCAAAAAAATTTTAAGAAAAAGTATAATGCAGTTTAACTAAATATTATCTAAAACATAACCTCATACTACATCATTTATTCATACCAGGTGTTCTAAATTATTTTCTGACCTTCGTTTTCACATGTTTTCATATTTTTTCTTTACTAAAACCTTTAATTTTGATTATTAATACTGTGAAATTCTGTTTCGAAATAAATTCGTTAATTATAAGTGATAATTCGCATTAATTTCTCATTATGCATTTATCGACCTTAATTTGTTTAGATACTATTGGACTTTTGGATTTTGGTTATTGTTTATTGCTAAAATTCAGAGCACTAACTACGACTTGTTCACGACCATTTGACAAGCGGCGTGATGGATTCGTATTGAGTGAAGGCGCTGCAATTTTGGTTCTGGAAGAAATGGAAGAGGCACTTAAACGGAAAGCGAATATTTATGCTGAAATTATGGGATATGGTAAGTAATTTTTAATAAATTTAATTTACAAGTTGATGGAGATTAAATTTGATGACATATACTATGCCAAAATAAAAGCATTTGAATGACCTTTATTGCTAAAAGTTAAAATTATTCCTCATGTTATTCTATGCAGTAACCTTCGAAAATCATTCGTGATCAAAATGAGATTCATTTGAAAAAAAATGTGAAAAGATCAAGATGTAGTGCTTTTTTACATTTGAAGGTGTCGCAGGCGATGCTTACCATCTAACGACGCCATCAGAAGATGGTATTGGAGCTTTCTTAAGTATGAAAAGATGCTTAGCTGACTCATGCATCAATCCAGATCAAGTTACATACGTAAATGCTCACGCAACTTCAACAATACTTGGTGATCATTTTGAATCGCGAGCCATTGCTCGTCTTTTTCCTGGTGTTGCGGTTTCGTCGATTAAAGATTAGTTACTTTTTTTGCGATCTGAATTTTATTGAATTTATATAAATAGTTTTATCGGCTTCATCTGCATAAATATTGTCGGCATTCAAATATATATTTTTTTATTTGAAAATAAATTTCTCAGATTAATTTTAGATCGAGACTTGAAAACAAATCTCTCAGATTAATTTTAGAAATAAATCATTGTGTGCCAATAAAATTACTAAATCTGTCGACTTAATTTGCATGTTGTAGGTCATATAGGTCACACTTTGGCAGCAGCTGGTGCTATCGAAACAGCGATCACAGCAATGTGTGTTGAAGAAAACAAATTGGTGGGGAACGTCAGACTGGAAGAAAGCGATATTAAAGAAAATTTACGTTTCCTTAAACAATCGGAAAGATGGGATAAGGGACAAATAGCCTTAGTGAACTCTTTTGGTTTTGGTGGTTCACACGCCACTTTATGTTTATCAGCGGTAGAAAATTCTTCATAGATAGGTATGAATAACTGTGAAGCTCGTCAACTGGAATATTGCGTTTTATTATTTCTAAATTCAAGTTACACTTCTAACGTGAGAAAATGCATCTTAGCGAGCTTTTAATGGTTTTGCAATTTGACTGCATAAAGACCACATAAAAAGTAGTATTTTTTTGTCCTACATGATATATAAAATATTCAGCCTCAAGGGATTAAACTAAAATAGTCCTTCCTTGCAAAGAAATTCATTCGGCCAAAATCTCTGCAGAATAAATGGTTTGCGATTAGTTGATTTTATGAAGTTAGCCATTATTTGACTAAGATAAGTGAATGTATTTCCATGCTGATGACATTTATTTCCTTTTGTATTTAGTAAATTAAGAAAAGATGGAATTAAAATACATCAGAATCTTTTGTTACAACATCTGTTGTTGCCCAACACTCCAATTTTAAATTAAAGTGAATAATTTAAATCTGTAACAATTGAGCAAAAAAACTGCAACCTGCCAATTGTTGTACAACCATGGCGATTCTCTTCGTATAAAACGATAATATTAAATGGGTAGCAAATATGGTTACCTTAATTATCAAAATTCAGTTCTAAAAATCAATATTAGCAACGATTTAATTAGTCTCTTGCACAAGTAATTGTGTAAATACTAGCGCGTAATTTTCTTTCTTCCTCGTATTTTATAGGTGACAAGAAATCGTTGAATATGATTTCAAATAAAAGAGAGGCTAAGCAGATTAGTGAAGAATATAAAAGAGTTTGTGATAAATTTACTATCTTGAGATTGTTCCAATTTTGAGAGTAATTTTCATGAAATCACTCTGGCACTGATGTAATGCATTGCGGCATTATGATTTTGCTGTTTGATTATCAGTTTAAAAAGTAACATGAAAGCGACAATAGTAGTTGATGTTGTTAAAACGGTCAAATGTAGTCATTTTAAGCGATATTAACTTTTTTGAATCAATAATAGCATCTGAAATAGTGTTGTAAATGTTGAGACATGTTTGTTTTAGCTGCATAGAATTATGAAAACATTTATGATGCACTAAAGCAAACGTAACAAGGATGAATACATAGTTGATATATTTTGTCATTAAGAATAATTGATGTCTCAGAAGAATGTCAAAGAACAGTGCGTCATAATCCATTGTTAGCTTCGCGATTCAATTTATATTAATAATTTTATAAAAGCACTAAAAATCCTTACTTTCATCATATATGCCTTAACAACAATTAACGCCTCTTTTTATTGTGGCGATTTATTTTGGAGATGCTAACGAATTCTTTCAAAATTGGCATAGTGTGAAAATAATCATTGTGCTTCTAATCATATTTATTAACGGTAGGTACATATGTTTAGATAAGGTGTTAGAATCATATCGCATTACTTTGAACAATGATTGATTTCCGCATTCAATAATTCTGATCGCTTGAATATATTTGTAGTTTTAATTTCAAAATATTAAAAGTAATATAGTCATATAAAATACCATAGTTAAGTATATGTTCTTTTTCGGAAATTTTCCGATTTCCAGTTCATACAGACAACTGATGCCACTCGGCAATTTGCCGTCGTGGATTGCTCCGTACCTGAAGCCAGTGCTCATCATCGGGTCCAATAAAACATTTGCCCATCACCTGAAGAAAGTGTCTTAAATTCCTGAACTCAATAAACATTCTTAAAATAGACAAACGTATGTGGCTTTAACTTTAAATTGCAAAAAAAATTTCAAAATCACAAATGTTCCATACAAAAATTTTATTTGATAATCCGCGCAGAAAAAATTTTTTTGATAATCATTTTAAAAAAGGCGAGAAACTTTCGATGTAAAATTTTTAACAGTCTCCACGTTGAAATCAGGTAGCCCTTTGTTAATCAATGTAAATTGATTTAATTTTCAAAACAAAATTTACAGCACCTCATTTTTTGTCAGACGATCCCAATCCATAACCACAATTTCAAATTTAACATTATCCAAATCTTCGTCCTCAGTGCACGGCAATTCAAAAACAAACGATTCATTGTAAACTGGTGATAGCGTACATTTTTTCACATGACTCTTCTTCGTAGAAATCCGCTGCTCTTTATACCGCAAATAAATTTTGATGTATGGATCTGAAATTTAAATTAAAGGGGTGAAAAAATTTAAAGAGATGTCATGAAATTAAAAGTTAACTGAGATAAAGTGACAAACATCTCACGTTGATAAAACATTATATGTTTGGAAGAAAAAATACCACTAATCTTTAAGAAATTAATCATAGTCA